TGATCATTCGACTAGTTATATTTTCTAACATTGTCTTAAATATTGCTGTATTTTACTTTGTTCTGTACATGCTATCAAAGTTAGCACAAAAAGTAAAATAGAATCGGAGTACTTTTCAAAGTATTAACAAAATGTTTGAACTGTTAATGTGCTTGAATTAAATTTACCCGACTGAATTTATTTATAGTTTTCTTGAAATGTGACGATGATCGTTTTGTTTTATAATCATAGAAACTAAAATATGTGATTTTGTTTTGCACTTTTAACATCACAATTATATTTTCTATTTTCACTTATGTATATATATATATATATATATATATATATATATATATATATGTATATATATATATAATTACAATAATCACTTTACATTTCTTTATATAATTTTAGTTTCTTTTACATGTTTGTGTTTTTGTGTTGTTGTTGTTGTTTACGTGCTATACAGTGGTTGTATTTGGTTTGTGTGTTTTTCTAAGTTGCTGTTCTTGTTTATTTATGATTTTGACAAATAATCATTATTTATTGTTTACTGTTTATTTGATTTATTTGATCATAGTTACTGGGTGAATTGATTCTAGAAAAAAAAGTAACTATAATTAACAGGGTCTAAATATTTATATTCTTAAACGTTTACTTTTATTCATGATAAGTTTACCTGGGAGTTTTGTGTTATATATTCGTCAATTTATTATGAATGGAACTTTAATATAGTAATGATAGTTACTTTGAGAAAACAAATATTAATTTTAGATAATTCGTGGTTACAAATTCTTGTCTCAGTGTATGCAGATCATTGGTTAATAGTTTGTAAGTTTTAATTTCTTATGTGATTATTTGTTATGTCTGCGAAATACTTAACTGGCTAAGTACTATCTTCTGGAAATCATGAACTGGTTGATGCAAATAACATGAAGACAGTGAATGAGGGCTTAATTGGCACTCAAAATAAGTTGAAGTGACATCTGAATACAGTATTTTTCATATAATTTTCACTGACTAATGGTCAGATTTGTATGCAGTGAACTAAGTGGTAATTGACATTAACTCATCAATTAATCGACTAGATAAACAGTAGTCGTCTATGGCCAACAGTTATACTTGTAGTGTCGGTTACTATGTTAAGCCCGTATAACTTATTCTAGCTTCCGGACTGGCCAATTTATCCATTCTTCTCGAGTTGCATTTCGACCTTGTTAATTGTTCACTTATCGACCCTTGACTGCTTTTATATGAGCGTAAGTGTGTGTATATCTTATACTTACACATCATATGTCTGTAGCTTATTTTTGTCTGACCATAAATATTGATTAACTATTGATTAAATCGAGCTGGCTCACACCAATGCTCGTCATTTCTCTTCGCTCTCTTTTCTTCGCTTCATTCGCTGTGATTCTCTGATTGTCTGTTCCGATCAATGAGTATACAAAATATATGTATTCAAAACTTCATTCTCGTATATGACTTGTTTTAATTCTGTTATTCACTAACGTGAGTTAAGTCGATAATTATATACGAGGATAGTCAGGATGTATATTACAACAGTCAGTCATACGACATAACTGGAGTCAGATCTCGGGTCACAAACATTTCTCAGCTTTGTATGTATGCATGCAGATTTTACTGTAATTGAAGGTTTTCATGATTCAGACTAGTATTAAAACGATAAATAAATAGATGAATGTCCTGTTGTCTGCTTTATTTTTATTGTGGCTTTAAAACAGTAAGCAAGTCGATAGTGATATGTTTCCCTATAATAGTGACGCATAACATGATGCTTTTAAATATATTATGGGATAGTAGTTGAGAAAAAAAGGGATGTATATGAATATGATTTTGAGTACCTGTTATTAAAGTGGTAATAAGTATAGTATAGAATGACAGATTTCTAGTGCTTCAGTTATTATAGTCCCTTTTTCAGAAAGGGAGAAGCAGCAGTCACTGAGTACCAAATTGCTAAAACTCATAATGAGAAAAAAATTTATGCAGTAAATCATGTCAACATTTCCTTTTAACAAGTCATGCTTATTTGTCATTTTAAGTTGTCATCTGTCGTTAAGTATGATAAAATAGTTATGAGCGTTGGTAACTCAAATTATGAAACGTAGTCGATGTATTTTGTGTTCCTTAATCATGCTTGTGCTTTTGTTTTAAATGGTACTGCATTTCGGTTTTAAGAATCTGTAGAATTCCTTGACTGCTAATCATACACTACCTTCTTGTGCTTGATGAGATTAAGAACTGAGCGCCTCTCATTACTGAACTCACTGTTAACCAGTTATCATATTATTCACAATTGTTCAACTTTATCCTCAATAAATCAGTAAAGAAATTAGGTTGTTTATATTTGTGTCCAGTTGCCAAATACGTTTATGTAACATAATTTTATCTTCAGGAAATATATGAATAATAAATATATATGAATATGCTGGAAATTAGTAGTTTTGGGAGACAAAATTTATTGTTTTTACAATATATTTCTAGTTATCTTACAGCACAGGGTCCACAGTGGTGTGGTTTTGGCAACCTCTTTTAAAATTGCATCTTTGTAAAAGGAAAGTTCAAAATTCTTTCTTCTACCCACCGAATTAATAAAGATTTCTCATTTTCATCATAAATCTTATTTGCTGTTGAATATCCGTTGTTAATTTCTGTATAAATCCTCATAAAGGAAGTTGTGGTCTCATTAATTATAAAAATTATCACTTCCCTATCAGTTTATGGAGTTTCCTAGCATGGTAACTCAGTATTGATTTCTTCTGGTAAGCTATTTCACTCTTCCAATGTAAGATAAATAGTGTTTCCAGTAGTGATAATGTCAATAGTTGTAAATTGTTTGCTTTAGGTACTTCCGATCTTCATGAACATTCTTCTGTAATGATTCACGTATGAAGTCAGATTTAGAATCAAGTTGTTTATATGTTTTTAATTCTATTTCAGTACATTTACATACTTTTAGTTAATGTTGATTGAGTTTGATAAGTGTCAGAATTAACTATGTATAATTTCGTTAAAGAAAGTTAGGATGTTTAGTATAGGATGCCTTGTTACTGTTTAACTAATACAATTGAAATATTATAATTAAGCAAATTTCTATACAATCTCCACTTTCCAATAAATGTAATCAACTGTAATATAAATTAGATACATCTATTTACTGTTACTATTGATATCTATAGTAGAGGCCACTTCACACTCAAGTAATAAATGCTACGCTATAAGCTATCTGAAACTAAGTAGATTAATCTTTCCCTTCAATTACTGACTATTTAATTACAACTGTATTGAACTGATAAATTTTAATTTTATTAATTCTTTTAGTATACTGTAATTTGGTTATGATCATGTTTAAATTTTTAATCAGTAACGAGACTATGAATGGATTAAGTATGATAATCTTTTAGTATAAAATTCTATTGTTTCATTACAATTTCATTTATTGATTATTTCAATATGATATTCAACTGTATTCTGAGGAATTTTGTTATATATTCATTTGCTGTTGTATGTTTTCATTATCATATTCATTTACATCAAAATGTAACTAGTAGTCTCTGTCAAGTAAGTGTAATATTTTCCCCTAAAATGTATTCTTCGTAGTCACAGGTGAGGCTTTACTTTCTGCCAATCCGTGGTTTAATGAGATATAAAGTTCTGGAGGAGGGTAGCTATGGAATTGGTTGTTGGTTGATGTATAATTAATGTATAACAGTTTTCCCAATTATCATTATTCTTGGCTCAGTGATAGAACTTTCTCTTGATATTAATATAAGCATCTTCACATAAGTCCAGTGAAATCGTCTAACGAAGTCGGTATGAGCGGACCAGGATGATTGCATCGTAAATAACCATGAATGTAATTCCGTCTAACGGCCATATCTAAAATGATCGCTCTTTTTGTGTAGTATTGGTCTTTAAGCTCCCTTGTCTTAGTCGTTCATTTAGGAATGTTTTGACATTCTGCTTAAAGTTATAATAAATTATTACTAGTTTGTGATAATCATTATTTAGTTTTGATTATAATTTCAGTGAATCTTCATTCAAATAGAGTGTTCTCATAAATCAATTAATAGTATTCCTAGTTCTTTGGTTTTAAGTACAGATACAACTTGAGAATAAAGAAGTCAAAGTCATTTAAGTAATATATAATTCTCAAAATTCTTTCAGTTTTTTTCTTATATATTATTAAAATGAGACATTTGTATTCATAACCTGAAATATAGATTATATTAATGTATATATGTGTATGTAATTATGTCAGTATTGATATATCTAACTAAAAAAAATGTATGTACATCCAGTTTTATCTGGTTCTACTGATTGAACACATTTACTATGAAAGAAAACTACTATTGTTGAATGCTATTAAGAAGCATAGTAAACTTTTTAAGAAAGGGGAAGTATATAATATTAATAATAAGATGATAAGGATTAAAAATGGTTACAAAAAGAGTAAGAAAAATGATAATAATAAAAAAATTTGAAATAAAACGGAAACATAAATCTTTATCATATTTTAATTAGATTTCTTTATCTCTGTATGAATTTTACATTTTTCAGTCGGTTACAATTAGAAAGACTAAAAAGAAAGAAAAAAACAATTGACCAAAATGCGATTGTTTGATTGTTTTTCGTTTAAATAAGTCACTGGGATTTTGGGTGTTTACACGAGTATTTTATATGTATATATATAGTGTATTCACAGCGTTGTGGCTTATACATAGTCTAGCATCTAATGAATATGTTCATATTATTCATAGTTTACTTCTTGTATTTAGTTTACCAATGAGTTCAGCTTACATGTTATGTATCTCAAAGATGAAAATGTATCATCTCATTACATTATCGAAATTTATCAAAGGGACTAATTGCTTTAAATATCATCAAATAGTTTATGTATGAGCAGTTCTTGTTAAACCATTAAAAGATAATTGATATTGTCAAAAGAGTTGATGATAATATCCTATTTTAATAAGAGATATTAACTTTTGAGTATAGTGTTAATGTGGCAAGAGTTTTGTTTCTGATTCACGACGTCCAATATGCACTGAACGATTTGCTTCAATTAAATGTCCTAATGGAATTCCTGTCCCTTCACTAGCTCTTGATAAATAAAGTAGGTTAGAATTACATTTAACTTGTTTTTCACATCGACTCATTTGTCCTTTCCATAATAATCTTTCTTGAAAACTTTCAGTACGATAATTCTCTGTAATGACTGATTCACCTCGACTAAGATTATTTAAACCTTGATTATTACTGTGATAATTTGGAATTGATGAGTCGAAAAAGTGATTATTATTGTTAGTATTATTATTATTATTTTTATTGTTATGTATATCGTTATGATAAAAAGGATTATTATAACTGTGACAATTTTGAGTTATATCAGATAAATTAGATGAATAACATTCAGATGAAAGTGATGAAGTTGGACTGACTGTACGTGAAGTTGATTTACTTGTGTGTCTACCATTTGGTGGTTTCATTTTTAATGGTCTATGCTCTTTACGTAATTGATCAAGTTCCGATTCTAATTGCTCAATAGATTTTTCTTGTTGTTTTATTACTTCTGTTTTAGATGCTACTACTTCTTCAATTTCTTGACGTTCTAATTGAAGCATTTTTTTCAATTCTTGTAGTCTATTTTTAAAAAAAAAACACATTTTAACAGAGATGACAAGAAATAGAATTAATCGATAAATAGTATCTATAATAGTTCAATCATTATGTTACCATTTATTTACATTATGATTTTATAGAAAGTAGATTGAATTGTGTGACATTTTAAAATGTAGGTAATGCAACAATTTAGGTATTGTTATGTATCATATACGTCTTAAGATAAGATTTTTAACTTTTTAATTAAATTGGTTAGTTAACTAATTTGTGACTTTATTGATAACCTAAAAAAATGTTTCATTGTAAAAGAAATCAAATTATTTTGATAGATGACTTTTATTGTAGACAGACAACTATGTTGAACTGTACATTATCTGTTTTTTGTATTTTTAAATTTCATTGCATGATATACTGGACAATGTACAGGATCTAAATTATAACTTTTAAGTTTTCAAATGTACTAACTACTGATTAGTTATTAAGTTGAAATCAGTTGTCAACTTTCAATTTGCTACTTAGTACAACTATAGAATAACTCTACCGGTAAAAATTCAGTCTGACTTACAAATAGATGGTCTTCCTAGATCGATTGATACCTTCTATAATAAAGTCACTGAGTTATTCTTGATGTACTAATTTATTGCTTACTTACGCCTGTTACTCCCGATGGAGCGTAGGCCACCGACCAGTATTCTCTAACCCATTCTGTCCTGAGCCTTCCTTTCTATTTCTATCCAATTTTTGTCCATTCTTCTCATGTCTGTCTCCATTTCTCGGCGTAATGTGTTCTTTGGTCTTCCTCTTTTCCTTTGGCCTTCAGAACTCCATGTGAGGGCTTGCCTTGTGACGCAGTTGGGTGTTTTCCTCAATGTATCCCATCCACTTCCTGCACGTCTTCCTGCTTTCTTCCTCTGATGGATGGAATCTGGTTTGTTCTCTCTCACAGTAGGTTGTTGCTGATAGTGTCTGGTCAGCGGATCTGAAATATTTTGCGTAAACAACTGTTAATAAACACTTGTATCTTCTGGATGATGGCTTTCGTAGTTCTCCACTTTTCCACCCCATAGAGTAGAACTGTCTTGACATTTGTATTGAAAATCCTGATCTTGGTGATGATTGACAATTGTTTTGAGTTCCAGATGTTTTTCATTTGTAAATATGCTGCTCTTGCTTTGCCGATCCTCGCTCTCACATCTTCATCAGATCCACCGTGTTCATCGATTATACTGCCAAGATATGTAAAGGTTTCCACATCCTCCAAAGCTTCTCCGTTAAGTGTAATTCGATTGGTGCATGATGTATTGTATCGGAGAGTCTTGCTTTTCCCTTTGTTTATATTGAGACCTACTGCTTCTGAGGCTGCTGCTACACTGGTTGTCTTCTCCCGCATTTGTTGTTGCGTGTGTGATGGAAGAGCCAGGTCATCTGCGAAGTGTGAATCGTCCAGCTGCATCCTAGCTACTAATTTATCACCTCATATAGTAAAATTACCTAAAGATAGGTAATTATTGCTCGTTGATTTTTACTAGTTTTTAAGCCCACACTCTGAAGTGGAAACGACTTTTAATCTAATTAAATTCTGTTATATAACATCACTGAGATTTTTTGTTGTTGAAGGAAGTTAAAAATTCAGCTTTAAATCATGGTATGTGTAAATTTTTTTAAAAAAAAACGTAAACATGTTATAGTTTAAATGTTATTGGCTTAGTGAATAATCGGTATAATTTTTTTATTTGACTTTAACGATAATGAATTATTAGTTCCACAAGTACAAGTTAAAACTAATAGAGTATTCAAGCTATACACATATATAACAGATGATTTTTCATCATAAGTTCAATTTATTAAACAGATATTTCTTCAAATTGAATAAATTTTTCTAAATATTTTATCTATAATTGTAGTATTTATTGTTTTAAGGGTTGTTAGTGATTTACTATAGTGTTACAAATGTAGTTTATATTTCATTAATATGCTGGTTAATGTTAGAGTATATTTGAGGACAAAAAGAAAATATTTTCTAAGGATATCGATACAGTATGAAAGTATATTTTATTAACTTTTGAAACGATAACAGGTATAAGTCGAAGATGGATAGTGGCTACTAGTGGAATCCAGGATGCACGTTTTGTTCTATTTGGGACTCGTCAGCTGAATGTACTTGCATCCCAGTGTTGATGTTCACTCTGGGACTCGAACTTAGTACCTTTCGCTTCAAACGCCATCGCGTTATCCACTCAGCTGTTCTGGGTAATGGGTTCGTGTCCCAGAGTGAACATCAACTCTGAGATGCAAGTACATCCAACTGACGAGTCTTAAATAGGACGAAACGCGCGTCAAACTGGATTCCACTGCTAGCCACTATCCATCTTTGCTTATAATGCTCGTGAATTGAGGCAATATCGAGGCAGTACGCACAGTATGTACATATACCAGTTGCAGTCCTAAACATCAATGGGAAGATTCAAACAAACAATACTAAGTGAACGTATAAGTTGGTTTGAATTTTTCATAGCCTATTTACATTTTAAAAATATTTAACTTTTCACTATGTGAAAAGTGAAATCATTTGATAAGAGTTTCATAAATCATTCACTTACAACTGAAATGTTTTTGTAAATCTCATTTCATATTTGGTTTTAAACAGTACTGAATTATAAATTAATTCTACAGGAAAACGAATAGTCTCTTTAAAAATTTTTTTAACAGTAAGTAGCTGCCAGCATTTAAGAAGTTAGTTGTGGAGGTGCTAAAGGTAGCATTGTGATGTGTGCTACTGATGTCGAAAGAGATAAGAAGTATGCATCACCAATTGAAAGTGCAGTTCTTGGAGGCAGAAATTTAAGAAGGTTGAAGAAAAGGGAACAAGGACAGACAATGATTGGCGTGGAAATGAAGGGACAATAAAGTCTGAGACAATTGATTGACATTTTGCAAATGAAGTATTTAATGTATGGTTCTCAGATTTTACCAAGATATTCTGTAGTATTATAATGAAATACATTTGGTTATCTCTGATTATATTCTTTTTCACTACAACGTTTCAAATGAGACCAATTATCATGTGATCAAAGTCAGGACAACTGATAGTGTTACACGAATACAGCTAATATTCAAGGACTCAGTTTTAATAATAGTATTGAAGGTATTATAATCATCTTATCGAGTGATTAATTGATATTTATAATCATAAGAACATTAAATTTCTTCAAGTTCGATTCGAAAAATATTGTTACAGCAAATTATATTAGCTATTAACTTACATGCAGAGTTTAATTATCGAACAGAATATTTAAAACCAAATAAATGTATACTAAAGCATGGATAAACTTGTAAATAGGTTAACGAAAAGGGTTTTTTAATATGATTCCTACGGTGACTGGAAAAAACTGGGAAATCAATTGGTCGTCACCGAGATTGTTTGTTTCTAATAACATAAGGACATTGGAACTCTGAATATTAATAGAGTAGTTTCGTTCTGATACCTGCACTACAAGTAATAAGCATATCTGGTTATTATTATATAATTAGTCATCTAGTATATTTATTGATGCATAATATGTACATATAGTATGATAAATAACTTCTCCCGAAACACTTGGGTTTTCATAATAGCTCTGATGGTTATGATGCGGGTTTCACTGGGATCAGATGATCTGTTTGATGATTAGACACTTAACATGAAAACTCCCCTAAAAATTTCTCCATCTTTCGGTAGATGATTTTATATTAGTTTTTCTTAGAATTCGGACAAAAATAATTTACTCACTTTTCAGCTAATTGATCCAGACTTGGATATTCAGACAAATGATTTTGCCTCGTGGAAATTTTGTTTGGTTTGTTATTTTTTGTAGTTCTTTTCTTTGTGTATTCACTTGTATCTTCAGTAGTACATTCTGTAATCCTATCGTCATAATCGTCATAATCATAATCACTATTGCTCGTACTTGAACGGTCAGTAGTTATAGATGTAGAATGAGTAGGAATTAATGTCTTACCAATATCACACTCACTGGTATAATTATCATCATCTCCATCATCACCGTCATCATCATCATCATCTTTACTTATTGAATTATTATTCGTTTTGTGTGAGTTTTGATGTGAACATTGCGTTTTTTTCAACACACGACCTAACGGTACAGGTGTTGAATTATCGGATTTTGAATTTATTATTTTTCGTTTTGCTTGACGATAACTAATTTCATCAGTACTTTGTCTTGATGAATTTCTGTCAAATTTTCCATTGTTTATATGATTATTATTTCCATTGATATTGGCGTTATTATTGGGAGTTCTATTTGTAGGATTTTTAATTTTATGTACAGATTGTGTAGAATGACTTAAAGCATGAGATAAATTCGGGTTATGATAACAGTTCGGTTCAACTTTTTCAATACAATCATTTAATTGACGTAACTGTTCACGATATTGACTTAATAACTCCTCCATATTTTCTGGTTGTTCAAGGTCATTTATATGTATATGTTTTAATATCATATCGGCAGAATTAAATTTACAAGGTAAATATTCGTTTTGAATAATAAATGTATCCCACGATTTTTCTTGTTTTGTATTTGAAATACATTCATTACTGTCAGCTGAACTATTTGAAGTAGCATTATTACTAGGTTCTTGTTGATTATGTATTGTTTTTACATTTATAGATGCTTCCGGTGATAGATTTCTGTTTACTTCATGTAATTTAGTCATCTATTAATGTTATAAAAAACAAAATTACATTTAGTATGTTTAAGATTTCGCGTGATTAAACAATGTAGTGTTTGAATTCTATATCATCATGTGCTCAGTTTTTAGTAATGAGATATTAATTAACTTTTTTAAAGTTCATCTTTTTTTTATTCTTTAGTAAATAAGTCAGTCAGTCAGCTACAACGTAGGACCAGGCACATATATACATCTGTCCAAGTTGCCATACCTCGTTAGCACAACCACATGAACACCGGATTCATAGGAGTAGTTAATTTAGTGGTGGTAGTACATAAAAGATAGGTTGCATATGAGGATATAGTATAGGAAAGAAGAAAGTTATGAAACAATTTTAATCTCAAGGTTTAAGGGAAGATAAAGAGTGTATACACCTACGCCATTTTGATCGATTCTGAGCCATGTCATCTAGAGTCTCCAACCATTGGTTACGATAGTCACGCGGACCCCAACCAAGTAGTTTGCATTTACCAACATTGCTCAGACTAGAAGTTAGTGACTTCATGCTTTGAAGCCACATTTTGGTTTGGCCGCCCCTATCTCTCTCGTCCAACCATCCCCAATACTAGTAAATAAGTAGTAAAAACTACATAAAATTAATCTGATCTTAATGTTAATCTAAAATTAATCAGTATTATAATAATATTGTATCATTTTTGTAAAGTTTAAACATTTGACCTTCTATTTAGAATAACAAATTTATCTCAGTTTTAATCAATGAATCTTTCTTGAATTGACTGATATTTATCATCCCTTTCAATGTTATCAAATTTTGAAAATCCATTTATTAGGTAAGTTATGTTAGCAACAAACTATAACTACTAATGATTTAAACTTAATACCTTTTCTTTTCTCACAAGTTAATTAGTATAAATGTTAATATATATTAGTAACTGCATTGAGAATTATAATTAAAATACAATTTAATCTCTATTAGATACTAATGATGTAGAAATTTATAACCAGGGTTTTGAATAAAGTTTAATCATCATTTGAAATATGAAATTTCTACTTCTAGGACTAGTAAATTACCTGTGTTCAATCTTAATTAATCAGTTGTTTATACAAGTGGTATCTATTTTATTAGTAGATATTGTTCAATATATTCAATTGTATATAATGTTTCTTATTAAAAAATATATTATAATGTTTTAATCTTTGTTAGATTTGTATTCTTTGTAAGTAGTTTATATCAATAGACATTTGAAGATCAGTAGCTGATTCGAGGTACTTTATTATGAAATTTAATAAGCTTAAATTTAATGGTAATCAGTATATAGATACTAATGTGGTGTGGGTTACTTATATCCATGTAAGTAGTATATTACAATGGTCGGCATTGAATGTATTTCAGTAGAAGATCGATAAGGAAAAAACGGAAACGAAGTGCAGTTAGTGTGAAAATGCATGAACAATAATAATCGTGGACGATGAACTGATATTTACAGAAGGAACGGTCAAGCTTGATTGATAATTTGCAAATTAACTATTTACTATATGGTTTTCATATTACTTAGATATTCTGCAATTTTGTGATAAAATATATTCGATTGTCTCCACCCATGTTCTGTTCACTGCACTAGTACTAAGTTTTCATTAAATCTATAGCATCTTTTTAAAGACATTTTTGGGTAAAAATAAAGTTGACTATGGAATTTCACGAAAAAAACCCGAACGATAAATCTGTTTATCGTAGTATAATGTGTAGGACTTTAATTTTCCTACCTTTGATTTGTTTAAACTTTCAAGTTGGGTTTCAATAATGAGAATTTTTTTCGGCACTAAACACCTATAAGAAGTGTTATGGCTGATATATATGTAGTGTAATAATAGTTTTAAGTTATCAGTTAGTCTTTTGACATTTATCTTCTAATTCACTACGCAGGTATTTTTTTCGGTAGTTAAAGAAAACTAACTGTTTTGTTCTGGGTAGTATTTTAAGTCTAGCGATATATTTAGAGTCATGCAATGGCTTTCTAAATATATGCTAAATGCTTTCTAAAACGTTTGCTACTTTGAATGCAACTGTGAAGTTGACTGATTAAAAATGACTTCTAGATAATAAGATGTTCAGTATTACTTAATTATTTTCAGGTACATTCCTTGTTAACTGTTGTTTAAAATTCTTTTTGACAAATAATGATACACTAAAAATACTTTTGTTTGTAATCTCTACTGTATGACCTTCAAAAAATCAAGACGGTAAAACTACGTTTAGATCACTCAGCTTGTACTTTATTCGCAGCTATTTCAGCATACAGTGTAGTATATTCCAGTATCATTTGAATTGATTAAAATAAAGTAACTATTGAGTTCTAAGTATCATATCAAAGACTGATTTTGTAAGATAACCAGTAAAAACCAATTAGCACTGAATAGCTATTTCATTCTTGAATGAAATTCCTCAGTAGCGTGCATTCATAATCCAATATGGGATAGAATTCAGGCCCCTCAAGCCTTGCAAACGTAGAATAGTCTCTAGACAGTTGAGTTGGGACCCAACGGTTTACATTCCTAACTCTAGTCAGTTTTATATGTTATACAACTGGTGGAGTTCAACCATGTCGGTCGTGAGGTAAATATCATCGATAGCAAAGTTCGATGAACACGCAACACCACGAGATAACTGAGGTTAGAAACGTAAACCATTGGATATCAACTCGACTGTCTGCATTTAAGTCCCTTGCTATAAAAACTGAAGGTCCTGGATTTGAGTTCTAGTAGGATCCTGGATAGATATTACTGAGGATTCTCCTACTAAAACGAAAAGGCTGTCCGGCACTTCCTGGTTTCCAGTAGTTATTTTACGAAGTCAGTTCTTGATTTGAAACTTCCATTTCAATATTCTTTACGGCACCCTATATTCATAATCATTTTATATGCTTAAAATGTGTTATTTATTAACACGCTAAAATAAAATGTCATCTTATTTCTTACTGATGGTTTTATGGTGGTAGTCGCTTCTGATGGCCTTCTGTTATCGACAACTGAAATAGAATTATTGTTCGCGAGACTATGATGTCTTGGTATTCCACTTCTAGAAGAATATGAATTACTATTTGTGTTTCTTTCGAAATCGGTCTGACTTTTATGATTCCATGACGTAAAAGTTTGGTTATTTAATAACTCTGAAATATTCTGTAATAGATCGGGTAATTCAGCAATTTGTGGTGTAATCTAAAACATGAATTAGAAAATAAATTTTTCGAAAATCTACAAAATCAACATTGAAATAAATCATATTTGATAACTGCCATTAATTAGAATAGTTTGGACATCCTGACATCAAAAAACAGATATTTTAGTTTGAATTTTTCATCACTGAATACTTCATACCCAAGATCTACTTACCTCATAGTTATCGGGTATTATTCAGGAATTTGATCAGAATCTATTGGTTCGCATTTCCTGTTTTATACAGTTTTTGTTGTTATTAGTAATGATCTATCCTCATTTCTGGGTTGACTGATTTAATCTTTACAGCTATTCACAAAAGTCTTATAATATCAACAGCTTTTTTAAAACTTTAAAACTTCATATAGTCCAACTCTTACGAAATCTTTATCTATAGCGGTGTTGAATGTTTAGTTTTCAAATCATTCTTAGATCGCTAGGAAAAATTTACTTACAACTTTTTCAGTACCATTCAGTTTCCTTGAGAGATCATAACTTCATATATTGAGTTAATGAGAAAATGTAAATTTTCGATCTGTGAAATCAGAATATGTTTTAGTATTTCTTATCTTCATAATTGAAAGCATGAGTCGATTGAAGCTAGACCATCAAGGAAAACCTGGAAGCACTGGACGGCCGTTCCATTTTATTGTGGGACTCCTCAGCAGTGCGCATCCACGACCTTGCCTCGTGAGATTCGAACCCAGGGCCTACCAGTCTCGCGCTAAGGCACTTAACCGATAGACCACTGAACTGGCATGCGATGGTATTAATGTCTAACTTCAACCAATCCACGATGTTGAGCAACCGTTCACCAATTATCTTCAGTGAGTTCCTATTTCACAACAGACGTGGTTTTAATTCCACTGGTCACTGCTTCTCACTAGAACTCCAGCAATTATCTCTTGAATTCAGTCACTAGTGAGCATATGATTATAATCAGAAGGGTTTTTTTGTGGAGATTTAGTATTTTTTTTATTTATCAAATAAATAAAACATAGTACCATGTATTATAAAACAAAATTAATTCATTGCTGAACTTACGTTAATTTTACTAACATAATGATTAAGTAATTGAGTAAGTTTTGCAAATTCATATCCCAATTCAATAAATTCATGACAATCAGAATTAGTTGATAAATGATAATTAGCATCGGTATTTGAAGCGATTGATCGAAGAAATTTATACATTGTTGGAATTTCTGGTTCAATAAAAGAATTTAATGCTTTCATATGAATTTCTTTATCTTCGAATAAAGTTAAATTAGCTAAATTTTGTAAAACTTTTGCAATTAAAGTTAAATTTCTAGAAATACGATTATTTTCTGGTATAGATGAAGCTAAACCAAATAATACTGGACCATGTATAGCTGGACAAATAAAACGTAGAAATAAACAACTTGAAATTAAACGTGCCGCCGATTGAACTCCATGTGTTTCTTCAATTGTTAATGTAAGTGCAGTGAAAACGTCACGTAATTCTCTGAAATGCAAATTATTTTTGAAAATTAAGCAAATTATAGTAAGAATACGTTAGAATAATTAAGTTAGTGGTATTAAAAACTGGCAAAGATCTTTATTAGTAATAAAGGATAAGTTGAAAATTTCACTTTTATACTGGCACTTTTTATTTTTAATTGCATTCAGAACGTTTAATGGCGTCAAATACTTGGTAAAGGTCCTTTTTTATAGTCAATTTACTCCATTAGAACGTGCTATGAACTACTTTAAACTTGAAAAAGGTAACTTATCAGTTCTCGTTACTGGGAATTGTTTTCATGGACAAGCAGTGTATTCTACTTTAGACTAGCGTAGATTTTATGATGACTAGAAAAAAATGCTCTGTAAGATATTATTGGGACGATCCTAAAAATTTCTTGCGTCAGACATGAAAAGCTCAGGAAACATTACGAAGCATTTTATCCAATCAGCGTTGATAAGAAGTTTTGCTAGAAATATCGTGAAAATGAAAAGTCACATGTAGAGGTTCTGATCGGCTGATTACTACACTGCTACTATGTTTAGTAGTATTGTAGAGTTTTCAGGAAAACCCAAGGACTTCTAAAATACTATAAAAATCCTATATTTTCTGTACATGAATGAATCTCTGGAGTAAAGTGTTTCTCGTATATTTTGCGCCTTTTCTCTCGTGTTCAAGTCGCTGTGTAGTTCTAGCTTTGTGATTACGAGACTAGCTTAGGATCCGAGTATAGCGTTCAATTAGCAAGACCTATCAGATATATTAGTATTACATCAATCTATTCACAACTTAAAAGACATTAACCTTTTAACAGTTACTATAAATGATAATTTTGTCTCTTTAACTAAACAGTATTTTTGTTGAGTAAATCTGATACTGAATTATGAGTATGAAAAATATGTTTCCACACCGCTTGGAAATACGTTTTCGGTCAAACAACGGCAAATTAAACAGAATGATGTAAATTTTGCAATATTTGAAATACGGTTCCAACTATAAGGTTTTGATGAAAATTTCTTACACATTTAAATGAAAAATAAAAGTGAATAATAATAAACAGAACGAAATATATGAGCGAACAAATATTGTATTTACTTAGATCTCATCAGGCTTTACTCGAATACACAGTAATATTTATAAGCATATACGAAATTATTTAACAAATGAACGTCCATCTTATCTTTAATAATACATATTATAGACAAATTGATGGAATAACGATGGGTTCTCATCTAGATACTATCCTTGTTGACTTTGTGTTTGCAAAACTAGACAATGGACCTCTCAAAGAGATTAATGATAAGCATGACTTTTATTTCCGTTATATTGATGATACTTTCATTGTCGTCAATCAGAACATTCGAAAAGAACAACTCTTGGAAGCATCTAACAATAAACATTCAGCAATCAAATTTACGTGTGGAAAGGAACTTGATAATAAACTACATTTTCTTGAAGTTTTGTTAAATAGAAAAGAAAAAGGTTCTATCAGTAGAAGTGTGTACCGGAAAAGTTCTTTATCAAGCAAATATTCACATTTCTTGAGCTTTGTACCCTTCCATTGTAAGAGAAACCTACTTAGATGACTTGCAAATAGAAAGTTGCTCTGATGCTGTCCAAAGAATCACAAGAAGCATTTATAATAATAATAACTATTATTATTATTAGCTTTATTCAATATTATATTTTTGGTACAATATAGAATTCTCAGCACAAAGTTCTTCAACAAGTTTCCGTTTCTTACTTACGGATAGCTCGGAATCAATTAGAAGATTTGGGCTTCGCAGATGATCTGGCCCTTCTATCTCATAGACATGAATAAATGCAGATGAAGACAACTAGTGTAGCAGCAGCCTCGACATCAGTAGGCCTCAACATACACAAAGGAAAAACCAAAATCCTTAAATACAATACAGAGAACACCAACCCAACCACGCTTAATGGCGAAACTCTGGAAGATGTGGAATCTTTCACGTACCTATCGGGGCAGCATCATCGGTGAACACGGAGGATATGATGCAGATGTAAAGGCGAGGACTGGCAAAGCAGGGGCATTATTTCTATATTTGAAGAACATATGGAACTAAAAACAATTGTCAATCAATATCAAAGTAAGAATGTTCAATACGAACCTCAAGACAGTCTTACTGTATGGAGCTGAAACGTGGAGATCTATTACAACCATCAAACATGCACAGGTATTTGTAATCTATCGTCCACGTAAGATACTCAATATCTGTTTGCCGGATACCATCAGCAACAGCGTTCTGTGGGAGAGAATATACCAGCTTTGATCTAAAGAGGATATTTGGAAAATATATTGCAAGTGGATCAGACATACATTGAGGAGATCACCAAACTGCATCACGAGGCGATCCGTAACTTAGAATCCTGATGAGAAGCGGGAATAAAGGAGGCTGAAGAGCACAATACGCCGGGAAATAGAAGCAGGTATGAAAAGGTTGAGCAACAACTGGAAAGAACTGGGAAGTATTACGCAAGACAGAGTTGGATGGAGAATGTTGGTGGGTGGCCTATGCCTTTCCACGAGGGGTAACAGGCGTAATTAAGTAAGGTAATTTTGTAATGCAAGTAAGTTCTCAAAACATATTTATCAATTTATATGCTTATATTTTCAGTATATTATTAAATATTACCAATCATTATATCTGGTGATTACAATGTATATGAACTTACTTTGGTAGTTTACATTGATTTGATTCAATTCTTTGCCAGATCATTGCAACATTTTTCAGTAAGGCAGTACGATTTCTTTCTAGTATGACAGATAGTGTATTTCGGTTGTTTGATGCAGTAGATGAATCATTAGAAGCTCCTAATCTAGAAGGATCTATTTCAAAATCATCTCCAATAACAAGTAATTGATCGATTACTGGACCAAGAACATATCGTAAATACTGAAAGATAACAGGAAAAAAGTTGAATGTAGTACCTTCTTGTTGCTTTGTGCATGATTGCAAAGAAACTGATCCCTCTCTTTTATGTAACAGTTAAAATAACCACGCTAACCTTGTTTAATGTTGTATTCTGATTTAGTTAAATGATTTGATGTTTCAATAAGTACACGAAGTGATGAAATAGGGTATAATTTTGAACTATGCGTTTTTGTCTATGGGATTATTTACATATTATCAAACAGATGCCCGTAGGTAACATATGCCAGTCATCTTAATTCATTAATGACATTAGTAAAGAGAAATAATGATTTAAGAGATGTTCAGTGACGATGTAGTGTTCAGTTAAATAAACGCATATTGATTAATTTTTTTGAGGTACTAATCATAATTGGACTCAATCTAAAATATGTAATTTCAGAAGTGCCTGTGCTCACATACTAAAAATTTCATGCAAGTAATTTGATTTTAGTACGATCTAGCTCTTTATTAAACAATGATTAATTAATTATTACAGATAATCAAAACGTTTAGACGTCTAAAAGATCAAGCAACTACCTAACAGCTTACAATTTCTTAAGATAGAGCTATGGAAGTTCAAATAAATGATGTTCTGATATTAAACAATAGTTTAAATACTTTCATACACATGCAGTACTTAAAAGGCATTTCCATCACAAACCTTTAGTATTTTTTTATTGTTCTACCAGTCTTACTCATTTTCGCAACAATTATGATAATATTGAGGCTTGTCAGCTAACAGTTTCGTGTCAGATTTTTGTTAAAACGTCTTAAAGTCTCATAAGTTTTAGTCATTAAATACATCAAGAAGAGAAAATAATTGCTAATTTTTTATTCGTGGATTAAACTACATACAAGATAACAAGTTAAATTTGAAATGCCTACGCTCAAACTATAAGGACTTTTGCTGGGATACATTCTTAATTATCACTTTTAATCAAGTGATGCTCTTTGTTAAGGCCACCAACAGACGACGTTACATATATAAATTGAAAACAAAGACTATTTAAATGAACAATTTCTTTCAATAACTTCCTGATCAGACTCTCCAGTTTTAAGTCCATAGTTATTGTGTTATTTTACAAAAACCAAAATAATGAATACTAGTACTAAAATATAATATTGAATAAAGCCATTAGTAATAGTAATAATGATAATAATATTAGTGAATTAAACAATGTCATATGTTAAAAATGATTAACTTTGTATCGGAGACAGTGAAGTAGATTTATAGCTTAGGTGAATGATTTAGGTGGTTTTGTTTTCTGAATAGGATGGTTCTCTGACGAAGCTTTCATCTTATTTCCGAACGATAATACCAGCACAGACTTCAAGTAGAAATGAAGTGTTTGAGTTTTTCCACACATGACTGACATCTTGTTCTGTTGACCTCGATCTTGATTAGCTATTGTTGACTTTTAACCCGTCATTGTCTACCTCTTTATTTTGATTGTTTCTCCGTTTGATTTGATTCTTGGTTGTAAATTTGTCCATGGTTTTTCTGATTGGTTGATATATTGGATCGATTTCAATGTGTTTGTTGATTGCTGATTGACCTCAGTGACAACAATTTTTCTGGTGCTTTTAGTATTTTATATACATAAACTGGATATTATCGATGCTAATATCTTCCCTGCTTCCACAATCTACACATTTATGTTCCGAATTCATATGTATTTCTTATCATAATTACCTGGATTATAATATCACTTATTAGACATTGTATTCACACGACTTCATTGTTGTTGTTATTATCTCCATTAGCCAGACAAGATTTTCCTACTATGGATTTTATTCACATTATATTGGTCTAAAGTTTGAGGGTTTGCGCGCAAGGTCGAAGATCCTGGGTTCGAATCCGGAATGAGCGATCGTGGATGCGCACTGCTGAGTCCCATACTAGTACAAAATGGCCATCCAGTGCTTCTAGGTTTTTCAATAGAGGTCTAACCTTGATTGATTCATGATGAAAACTCAGCAATCTCTACAACCCTATGCTGAGAATATTATATCGACTAGTACTTGACATTTTACAATGAGTCGTCCTGACATTTTGTGAATGACCTTTCTAGTTTACAAACGACACAATTTTAACTTATTCAAGTCGTAACAGATACAAAAATCTACCATTTTTGACATATAACGTTGTTAAACTCACTAGGATGCCTTATTTTGGTCTCTGTAAAATTACACAATAATTATGGATTTAAAACTGTAAAGTTTGATTACGGAGTTATTGAAGTAAATGGAATATAACTATTGTCATAAAGTAAGAAGAGTCCTCTTCTCAGTCAATTCATTTTCGAAGCTGTACACTCGCAAATATATACTTATTTTTCAAAATGATAGTAATTACAATACTGGTGATAACAAAATTCTGTTAAACGTGATAACAGTGAGGTTGAATAAACAAAAGCATTGAAACGTTAGTTTTTTATTCAAAGTAACTAATAATAGTTTTGTTATTGTTGCCTCAAATATTCATCACGAAGTTAGGTGGGGAAATTATAATTAGGAAAGGAAGGTTAAGTATAATAAGATAAAGTGTTGAAATTGAGATAAACTGTAATCAGGAGGATCGAAGTCATTGAAAACAAAGTTCATTTAAATATTCTTTAATTCTGAGAACTTAAATTGATTGAATTTGGTTACGTTTGAATTGTCAACAATGGAATTCGCTAGTTTCATAAGTACTCATAAAAGTTAGCCAATCAACTTATTGATAAGATATGTTACTAAGGTTTTCTACATACGCTAAATACATTTATTTGTACTTTTAATATGACCTCAATTGACTTATACTGCCGCTCTCAAGCCCGGGTAAAAAAGAATTATTCGTCATGGCGTCCGCAACCTCATCCTGTAGAACACAACGTTGTTAAAAAACGTTAACCAGACTAAACAATTTAAAATCTGTCCTCCAAGTTGAAGAATCTTGATTCAGAAGGATCATGACGTCTGATGGTGAAAGCCAAGATTCTTCGGAACTCATGGGACCGACGCCCCTTCTGACAACTAGAGCAAAAATAATTATAGGTACATGGAATGTTCAGACAACATGGGAGACCGGGATGACCAATCAAATGGCAGTAGGTTTAATACAGTCTTCCTTCAAGACAATGACAAACTAAACCAATTCAAGACAGTTGTCAGTAATGGGTCCCAAGCCTTACGAGATCTATTTGAAGAAGAAGAAACTTTTATTTCGGATAACTGGAAAGGGATTAAAAAGGCACCAACCTGAACATTCCAGGAGGTTATGAGCCTCGAAAACAGCATCATATAGAATGGGTCCCTATCAAAACCCTGGACAAGATTCAGGAAAGGAGGAATAAAAAATCAGCAATTAACAACAGTCGAACAGGAACAGAGAAGGTCAAGCATTTACGGAATACACAGAAGGAAACAAAAGGATAAAAAAGAGCATTAGAACCGACAAGTAGAGATACCTAGGAGATCTAATAATGACAGAGGAAAAAGCTGTAAGAGAAGGAAATATGAAACGACCATATGACACATTGAAGAAACTAGAAGGGAAATATTGTAAACCAGGAAGACCAGTCAAAAAGAAATAGGACAAATCAATCACTGAGATCCAAGAACAGAAAAACAGATGGGTCGACCACTTTGAAGAACTCCTGAATAGACCAGACCAATTGAACCCATTGGACATAAAAGCAGCACCTACAGATGTTAACCTGCCAAAGACCGAAGAAATCAGCATGGGCATCAATTAAATCAAGAATGTGAAAGCAGCGGGACCAGGCTGAAATAGCGAATTCAAACATAGAGGTAATTGCAAAGATAGAACAGGATATACATTGTGGATACCATGAAACTGCATTACGAAGCAGGCCGTAAATTGGAATCCTGTAGGTGAAAGTAAGCGAAGAAGACCAAAGAACACATTGAGATGGTACTTAAAGATAGACATCGAAAGAATGAACAGTCAGACATATAGTAACGGCAAACACGCTTCACATTCTATTCAGGAAGATTTGCAAGGAAGAACAAGTGTTGATGGACTGGAAAGAAGAATACTTCAACAAGATACCAAAGAAAGGAGATCTGAGCAAATTTGAGAACTATAGAGGTTTCACACTACTGTCAGTATCAGGGAAGATTTTTAACAGAGTATTGTTGAACCGGATGAAAGACTCAGTGGACGTCCAACTTCGAGATCAAGGGGTCGCATTCTGTAGGAGTCGGTCGTGACACTACGAATCATCGTTGAACAATCAATGGAATAGAACTCGTCACTAAACATCAACTTCATTGACTATGAGAAAGCATTTGACAGTGTTTTGTAATTTATTATTAAATATCGACCAATGAACTACGTGGCAACCTCCCCAGTTTGTTGATTACTTAATTTCTGAATTATTTTGATAGTGTTTGTCACAAATTTTTTACTTCATTTAGAAAATCCTATATAAACTAATCGGTATCAGAATACTATTTTATTGAATATTGTTTTTAACTACATGACATTTATTAATGACATCAACTCAACCAAGTTTAGTTCTTCCACTTATCCTTGAAAAATTCCATGCCTTAAACAGTTGATATTTCTTTTTTCAATTTACAATAATCTTGTATCTAACAGATTCTTGTAATAAGTATTTACTAGTAAATCTCTAAATTTATTAAGTAAAAATTAAAGGTAACTTTTTCGCAAAGCTCGTTATTGTATATTGAGTGATATTAACCTTAATTCATTTTATATATTTGAAATCATGAGTCATTTGAAGCTAGACCACCATGGAAAACATGGAAGCACTGAACGACCGTTTCGTCCTATTGTGGGACTCCTCAGGAGTGCGCATCCACTGAGGTGTCATACAGCGGTGTTAATGTTTAACTTCAGTCGATCCATGATCTTACGCAACCATTCATCCATTGTCTGAGATAGCTACCTGTCTCTACCCAACACCGATTGTGCTCCACTGGACACAGCTTCTCACTAGAATACCTTTGTATATTTACATCTTAAAATATTTAAACATGATAGGTATATATGCAAAAATATGTGTACTGCTTTATTGTAAAATTGTAAAAAACAATAATTTTTTTCAAATGGAAAGAGATTGTTACTATATTTACTAGATCTAACATTCAATATTCAAATCAATAGTCAAATACAAGTCACCTTACTAACTGTAATATTTAACTTCTAATCATAATGTATAAATTCTACTGTACCTTTTGGATAGACACTATCTGTCTGGATACGTGTTATCTTTGAATTATTATAATTTATGTAAATTATGCAGATTTTATTTTTCATTCATAAGTTTAGTTTACCTGTGAAGCTGACTGGGAAAAACTTAACTTCTATTAAGATAGGTTATTTACAGAGACACTTTAGAGTATTGAAATTTCTACTACTTTCAAAGTACATAGAAATACTTTTATTCCACATGATTTTAGACATCAAATCAGTAGCTGTAAAGTTTAAAGTCAATAAATCAATCACCAGCGTAAAGAAGTGATGTATATTTTCTGTTATAAAGTTACTTTTAGAATTAAAAACCTAACACTATACTGCTGGACTTTTTTAATGATGGTTATAAATTTTAGTCTGGGACACTGTAATTATTTCTTGACGTTTCTTAGAATGAGTTACCAGTGTATCACATTCTAGTGTCGTCTTAGTTACTAAACCATCTTATGGTTCTTCACAATAGAATAATCAAAATACTTTCAAGAAAACATGATTCTCATCTAATTTCTTTCAAATTCTCTCTATTTTTCATAGATTGTAAAGCTATGTTATATAGGTGCTTTGACTTCGTAATCATCCTTAAATACCCATAGATTTATACTAAATGGATAGAAAGCTTGAAAGTTTATACTTTTTTTCACAATGAATTCACTTTTCTTCATGAGAATCAACACACTATTAATTATTATAACATTTATTATTTAAAATAATAATAATAACCTATTTCAATCCTGTAATCAGTTATTATAAAATTTCATTTAACAATAGTTGATTTAACAACTAATAAATGATTCATATTTTTTATACTTCCCTTTCTATCCATTTTAATATTCACATTTTTAATAGTTAAGATCATGAATCAATTGAATCTTGATAATCATGGAAAACACGGTTGAAGTTAGACATTAACACCGTTTGATGCCGGCTCAGTAGTCTAGTGGTTAATCGCTCGCGCGAAACTAATAGGTCCTGGGTTCGAATCTCGATAGGCGGGATCGCGGATGCGCACTACTGAGGATTCTCACAATAGGACGAAACGGTCGTTCAGTGCCTCCAAATTTCACAGGATGGTTTAGCTTCAATTGATTCATGACCTCAACTTTGAAAATTATTATAATATCCACAAAACCCTTTCTGATAATATTCACAGTTTTATTCAGATCTTACTTTAGGACATTTTCGATTAAGTGTGTGTGTATACTCATGTGTATATGTATATGTGTATGCATGTAGCTGACATCTATTTTATTCGATTCTATATCTTTTTTTTCTACAAAAAAATAATACTCTGAAATAGTTTTATAGTTGTTTAGTTTTATAATAAACAGAACTATACAGTGTTTTTGTTGTTTGATCATATTCTCAATAATAATAATAATAATAATAATAATAATAATAATTAGATCATAATAGATAAAGTAACATATTCGATTTTCCTTTATGCCTACCTGGTTGTGAAAACAGGATTTTTCTCCCTTTTTTGGGTCTGTCATTATTTTTTTTTTACTTCTCTGTTCGAAATATAAGCAAAAACAACTGTCGAAATGTTTTATTCGACTCTTTCCGTGTTATATGTTAGAGTGCTTATATTTAATTAAATCTTTCCAAATACACCAAGAAAAAACAGATTAGGTATGATTAGTACTTTGTTGTTTTTATTAATGTCACTGTTGTTCAAATCTTTTAGTTACTTGAATGTTCTGTTGTTACATAACATTTAGTCAGAAGAATATTATTTTTTTAAAAAAATAGAATGTATATAAATGTTTTTGTTTCTCTGGATGGTATCATCGAATCTCGGATGAAAGAGATCTATTTATAATCAGTATAGTAACCACTAAAGAAAGACAACTATTAAATATAATTACCCAAAAAGTGTGTAATAATTTAAATAGAACATATAGAAGTTTTAGTGATGAAAAATATTGTGTCACAATTTTATTTCATTCCATTAAAGTGTATCGTATTTCATTATTCCTGATAAATGAAGCTAAAGGAAAACAAGATATATATTTACAACATAGCAACAGTTAATTGTATTATGACTTACATCAGTGCCCACTAATTTAATATAACATTCCATTGCTTTTGATCCTGCTGAGTTAGCTCGAAATATCATAGATTCTTTTCCTTAATTAAAACAAAAAGGCAAACAGTTAAATGGGTTTTTTCAGTAAAATATACTTTTAGTAAACAATGAATAATTATCGATAAGTGAGTTATATATATAAGAAAGAAATAATAGTCTAGTAGTTTCTATTTTTTAAATTATTTAAACACATAAATATTGGTACAAAGGGACACCAGATATATATATATGCGCCACAAAAAAGTCATTTAATTTAATTGTGTGTGGACTGTGATACTGCCAAGGTGCCCGAACTGAAGCAGGTGATTTTCTTAGGGGGTCACACTCGGAGCCTTTGACCTAAAGGTCTGATCCACAAGGCAGTGGAGCATCGTGAGGAAATGTAGTCCCATGGTAACCGGTAACCAATAATTGGTTCATACGCCATTTGTTATTTCAGCATACTGGAGCCCGTGTGCCCCATTGGTTTGGAATCAGGGTTTACCAACTCCCCTAGGTGGACTTTCCGTGTCCACCAACCCGGTTAAAGCGCCGGACATTCGCTTTTCGTTATCTCAATTTCGTAAACAACAGTAATGCCACGAGAAGGCAGTGAGTAGGACTTCCGTGGCAGAGGATATATACTCGTGGCGAGAGAGAGATCAAACTCGCCCCACTCTCGGTCGTAACTGGGCATTTGGAGGTATTAGTTTCTAGTTTTTAATGTTCCTTAAGCTAAATTCATACCAAGATGTAAACTACAAACTAACAAGTTTACACAAACTTCGTACACTTAAGTTGATAATTTACCTGATAAAATATATTTATAAAACAATATAATACTGAATATGATAAAGTAATATGTTACAGAGTCTATTAAGTATTTTAAAAAGTGTGTAAAGTTGAGGAACTGATAGCAAAAAGTGAAATACTTGATTAATTCTAAGGATTTTGAATTTCATATTCCAAATGATCTCTTTACTGTCACCGGGAATCAGACAAAAAGTATATTTCATAGGTAAATACATGAAAATCAAGGTCTATTAAATGATACATTTCCTACACTAAATAAAAAGTGCTGTTGAACAATTTACTAATTTTTCTTTTTGCATTGTACTGGACAAAATTTTTACATCCGTCATAGTTTCAACCGGAAGTGAATTATGAAAATTCATATGATGAAATTCTATCAACTAGACGGTTTTTTTAAATAGTAATTTTATAACTTATTCAACATGGAAAGAAAACTTTCCAGTCAGATAATCTTTGTCATCTTTGAAAATAACATCACATTGAAGTTTCCGAATGCAAATTTGGTTTATAGTTGGACCAAGTATTGTTGTTTAAGTTTTTGGAAATTTAACCGGTTCCGGCTTAACATCTGGATTGTTTTTTCTTCATCAAAATTATACATTATGAAGGTTTAAAGTAAAATATGACAGTAAGATATTATAAAGATGTTCAAATGATTGATTGCATTCATTTTTGTGTTGAAAGTTTTCCGTTACATGTGAAATAGTTCTGTAGTGTGTCTTGATGAAAACAATTAGATTATATAAGAACTTTAGTTTAAATTAAAGAGAATAGTTTCACAGTATTTGGGCACCGAGTTAATGTAAGACATTTCCTTGAAAAAGCTTGGACCAGATTGTCAGGCGAAACGTTGAATTCATTCGCTGAGATTTTACAGATATATTATTCCTGTTTAATGTCTTACAAATAGATTGGTTTCAAAACAATGATATTTCAAATAGTTATACCCAATATATGGAATATGAAGTAAAATAGCCTATGTAGTATGTGATATTATTATGCTAAATAATCTTAGTATTCTCTGAAAGACGACATATTTAATTCTCAACTATCAGAGATAAGTAGTAAGGTAACTATAAATATATATTCTTCTGTTTATTCATTCTTTTGTTTCCTTCTGTGTATTCTGTTGGTGCTTGACCTTCTCTGTTCCTGTTCGACTGTTGTTAATTGCTGATTTCTTATACTTATAAATAAGACTTTTTTAGATGATCACTATCATATGCAAAATTAGAAATGTAATAAATGTTAATGAGTTTGTTCTTTTCAGACAAATTAACATAGATATCTATCCACTCTATCAAAATTAAAATATTCAGTAAAATCTGTTAAAGAAGGATTTGACGTTAAGTATTTGTAAAAGTCAGTTTTGTATTTTTTCAGATTATTTACGAATTTTATTCAAATTTCATGATTGTAAAAAATTTGTTATACTTCGATTAACACATATATGACATTAATATACAGATTGATTGTCGATATTTAATATTTTTGACGATTCTAGATATTTACCGTTTGTGGATAGGTTAGACGATATAATAATAGTTTTTAAGACTTGACATTTGTAGAACTTCACTAACAATGCCTTCAAAATTTGAAGTCTATAACCAAAGATTCTTATTTATAGTTCTATAAAATTAATTACCAGATGAGTATATATGTTATTTAGCTCATTTTTTAAATTTCTTTTCTATTCGGGTTAATATAATAGGATGACATGGTTATATACATTGACCATTGCAATATATTTACATGCTTATTGTGATATAAGCAGCTTCAATAAATTAAAGGGTTTCTTCAAGTGAACACAACCAAAATAAATAGTTGGAAGTATAAGGTAGCTTCGAAATGTTGATAGACTTAGTTTACAGGAAACAAACTTTATAGATGTTTAGCTATGAAAATAGATCGTTATTTCGACTTTGAGAACCATCATTTAGAAACTATTGAAGACAAAAGGCACTGTAAAAACTATTGAACATGATGTCGAAAAAGATGTTTTAGCAGTTACTGCTTTATAACTAGATCTATCGAATAAATTAACTAAAAATAATTATGATTTGGTTTTATGTACTACTTTGTTTTATGAATTACACCGATCAATAACTAACTTGCCTGTTTTTATTGTTCCCCCAAAACACAAAGAGTATAATGTAAAACTATATTCAAAACTCAGACATATCAAAGTTTTTCAATACACAATGTAATTAAAAGAAAGCAGTGGAAAAATAACCTACCATTATTACTTAAATCTTCACGAAGTAGTACTGATAAAAATTCCGCTACAGATAAATCTGGTAGTTTTTCAAAGATATTTACAAAACAGCTAGTTAATTCTTCTTTTTGTTTAGCTGATAATTTAAGTTCCAAGTTTTTGATCAAGTCTAAATATTTTGTTTTGATGAACTATAAGTAAAAATAAAGTTTATAGGAGGGAAACATTTAGAAGTATGATATATTATATTATATAACGAAGATATTCAGAAGTTAGTTTTAAAAACAATTAACATTGTTAAATAACTCTGATTACAACAAAGAGCGGCAAAGGGTATCAGTCTCTCACTTATCTATTTATTTATTTAAACACATAAATATTGATACAAAAGGGCACCAGATGTATATGCGCCACACAAATCTCATTCGACTTGTGTGAGCGTTGGGATACTGCTCGGGTGCCCAAACCGAAACAGGTGGTTTTCTTAGGGGGCCACACTCGGAGCCTTTGACCTAAAGGTCTGATCCACAAGGCAGGGGAGCTTCCTAAAAAGATGCAGTCCCATGGTAGCCGATGATCAACGATTGATTCATACGCCATTTTTCCCTCAGGATACTGGAGCCCATGTGCACCATTGGTCTGGAATCAGGGTTTATCAACTCCCCTCCGTGTCCACCAACCCGGTTAAAGCGACGGACATTCGCTTTTCGTCCTCTCAATTTCTTAAACAACAGCCCCGTCACGAGAAGGACTTTCCTTGCAGAGGCTATATACACATGGCCATGTGAGAGCATTTCGAGAGGAAGAGCGGACTATCCCCACTCTTACCCGTACCAGGGGGGGCAAAGTATGTTAATTTCCTTAATATGATAGTTGTGTAACTCTGGTTATTAATCAAAGAAAACGTATTACTATTTCAAATTTGTACCATTATGTCATAAAATTATTAGAAATTCTTGGAGGATTTAAAATATCATTCCTAAGGTTCAAAAAGATCAACTATGAATCCGATCATAATTCCACTAGAAACTTAATTATCTAATGTAGATGACTCATCCCACATTATTGACAAAATATGGGTTGGAGATAAACGACACATTTCTCGTCTATATATATATATATATATATATATATATATATATATGTATATATATATATATGCTAAATTTGCCTGGACTACAATCCGGACAAGGTCATGTATGCATCAATAACTTTCTATGAAATATATATATGGTGAAAATACCTAGTTTGTTTTTATGATTTGTGCCTAATAAGGAAGAAAGAAATCCACAGGATAATAACATTTACTGTTATTGCGTTGAAACTGTTCTAGCCAGAAAAAAACAAACAGTTAAATTACAAAATTGTATGCAACGGAATTGATTTTATACGGTTGTTATAATGTTCTTTAATTAATTCCAAAGTATCTGTATGATAACATTATGGTTTATATTTGAATTAGATGTTCACAGACAGATAATCTTTCAATCTATCATTGTAGATGGAAATAAGATAGACTACTTGATTTTATCTTGCATTTACCAAATTAACTGCTCTTGTAAGGCTCGTTACATTAGGAGAATATTTAAGCTAATCAGATATAAGATTTCTGAATACCATCCTTATTGGGTTTATAAATAATAGTTAGCGTTGATGAAGAAATCACCATTTAGTCACTTAATCATAGTCAATTAAGGTTGAACGGAAACTTTCGGTTTATTGATTGTATACTACTAAATTTGTCTCATTATATATATATTTCTCTTTTGCGTATAGTCATAGCTTCCCTCATTCATCTTTGCAAACCTGACCTCATTCATAAGAAGTTCGTGGAACCACTCATTTTATTTTGCTTACAAACAAAGGTCCGTAGCCTTTATTCTACTATCCCCTCTTCTACGATTTTGCTATAATTTTTAACTTTCTTTGAAGCTTTGTTCTTGAATAAGTGTCATATTCTTCTTTTTGTTCTTACGAAACGGCTATTAACATTTAACTTCATAATCAAATTTTTCTAGTTTACTTACTTGATATTACGTAATAAGGCATTCATATAACTATGTATCCTATTTCATTTATCTATTTATATCTTTAAGTGTTACGATCACCCTACTCACCTTGACGTTTTATCTAGTTTGTTAAGCACCTTGTGAGTTTGCAATACTGTTATTCAACATATTCACTGTTTGCTTGTTACCATTTTTACCCTTGTTGTCAAACATTTTTATTTTAATTGAGATCATGAGCCAGTCAGTGTTAGACCACCATTGAAAATCTGAAAGCATTGAACGGCCGTTTCATCCCAGTATGAGACTCTTCAGAAGTGCACACCCACGATCCCGATTACAGGTCTCGAATTCAGGAACTACGGTTTTTCGCGGAGACTTAACCTCCGGACCAACTGTATTAATGTCTTGCTTCAACCAATCTAATTTTATTTTAGTATAAATTTATAGTATAATAATATAATAGAAAGTTAGTTGGAAAAAAGCATATTCCTTTTCTCTGTTTATCATTTTGTAGTAATTTCATTGACGTAGAAAGCTCACCTTAAATAATTTACTTTACATTTTTACATGAATGTAACAAGGTGGACAATTTTTTTTCTACTATTTAACGATGAAATTTAAAATATGCATCAACTCTTTTATACATACATTTTTAATTGAATGTACCTTAGGAATTCATTAATTCATACCATGAAGAAACGTCAACTAGTTTCTATTTAAATGGGTTTTTAATTGTTATTGAGGTTCATTGTAAACTGACTTTTCAATACGTCCAACACCTTGTTAAGATACTTTGTGTTAATGTCATCTGAGAGTATACAACAACTTAAAAGATATAATCTTTACTTAATCCACTAGAAAACTTATAAACAGGGAATGTTGTAAATATTTGAATAGAAATAGATCATATCATTTTTGTTAACTAGATAAACCATAATTGCTCACCTCTTTCAATTGATTATAACAAGCAATCGGTAGAATATCAACTGTTTGATAATGGATCATCATTCTTAATTGAGGTAAAGAATTTTCAGATAAAATAAAATTATTTGTAACTGAATTACTATTAGGTGAAAGATTTGGTGAAGTTGCAGTTGATGTAGACGATGATGATTTAGAAATAATTTTATTAGTTTTATTAAAATTACTATCAGTAGTGACACCAGCAGTCCATGAACATTTCTTTTTCGACAGTTCCATATGGTTATACTTTAGTTCATTATCATCATATAATTTATTATTACTATTAGTAGTATACTGTGAATTGGGTATAATTGAAAATGAATTAGAATATCCAAAACATGAAGCTGGAATAGAATGTTTACGAAGTCGTCCCGATACTCCAGTTGAATAATTGATCGACGGAGTTTGATTTGTATCTGTTTGTTGCTGATGTTGTTGATGACGAACTTGTAGATTTTCTAGATAATTTAAGTTTGAGTTAATTTGTGGAGGTTGCATTGTAAACCATTTTTGTATCTCACATTGTTGTGAATCATCGTTCAATGGAATAGTAACATAACCTATTGTACAAAATAAAGATATAGTTTTATTTGATATATGATCATCATCACAAAATAGTCAGCTAGAACAATTATGATATGGGCTATTACTTAGTATACAATAAACTTAAGTATATTGGTGCTATAGGAAGTCATATGAGGTCAAAATGATCCAGTGCTAATGTCTCTTACTAGGATGATTGAGAATGTGGTTTTTAAATCTCAGTTGGAGTACCATCACTCAGGACTTTAGATATGCCCTACTGTTTTGTACAGAACTTAGATCCAAAGCTTTCAATCGATTATCTCCAACCGTCCGACACATCAAGTGGAGTATGCGGATGCATAGAAATAACCAGTTACAGAAAAATCGTCAAGATACATTAATTAATTAACTGGTGTGTAACTTTAATATACCTGCTTCAATTCAAAATAGACATCGAAGATATCATCTAGCATACTAACGAAGGCTTCAAAATCCCATATTCGTTATCATTTACCACCATTTTGATATGTTATGTGGAGTCATCTTCCCATAGGGTGTATTTCAAAGAACAACCTTATTCATTTAATCTTGACAAGTTAACATTGAAGCTGTGATATATTCTGAGGCACATTGAATATGGGTAATTAATTGATGAAGTCGTTCACTAACACGGTAATTCAACATATGGAGTTCAAAGCTGCAAAGTTTATCTACTTTTTCAATATAAGTATTAAAATCCATGGATGATATTCATATTTATTTTTGGAGGCCAAAATCAAACTAAAACACTAATCTGAATAGATTCTAGAAGCCTACAATATCACATACCACTGTAGCTGCCGTCAATATCTAGATGCTGAAACGAATAAAGTAATAATTATCCAATAAGTGAATCATTTTTAGAGATGAAGCTTTATATATATAGTTGCGAATCAATTTTCACATAAAATATTTTTTGTTAAAATGCACTTTATTTATTACTTTTCATTCTATGATCAATAATCAGTAATTCTGTGAGGATTCTATCGATATTCTACTGAAGTTTGATTTTCTTAGAACAAAATATAGTATTTAGTTTGGGTTGTGGAGATTGTTGAATTTCCTTGAAATCATGAACTGATCAATGTTAGACTAGTGGATTTCAACCGTGTCGGATGTTAGAAATTTATCTACTAAAGACAATGGAAGATGATCGCGCGAGGTCGTGAGTGCTCACTTCTGGGGAGTCCTTTACTAGGACGAAGCGGCCTTCCACTACGCTCCGGTTTCCAAACAGATTTCTATGTGTCACTTATAGATATGAAGATCGAATTCACCGGTCATATGAATGTTACTGTTAGTTGTATCTAGGATGAATTTTGAATTTTTATAGAAACGATGAAATTGAACTTGACATGTTTCTTATTATATACAAGGAAGAACATGTAGAAATCATTCATATTCTATCTTTCTAATATATTTTCAACCTATTGATTTATACTACTAGTAAAGTGATTTTTCAATAACCAGCTTTGATGAAAAAGTTCCACGTAAAGTATACATTAAATATTTATGTATTACATACCGATAAATTGATTCTGATTTTTGTTCCTTTGTCGTTTGTCTTTTACAGAAGTTGCTTGCCTGAATAAATTTATTGTCATAATGGATATTATAGGCAAATTGCTGTAATTGTATAATTAAAAACAAAACAAAATAGGAAATAATAAAAATCATACTTTAAATAAATCAAATACGTTAAAAAGTAACATTGATAATTATACAAAGACAAATTGAATACAGGGTTACCCGTTAATTTAAAAATTTGATTTTGAGTAGTATATTCATTTTAATTGAATTATTTAAAATGATTGTTAAAACAGGCTTCTTTCTCACCCCTTTCAAATTGAAAAATATTTTCATTATTTATGTGCAATCTGTATACTTTAAGTATAAGTATTTTTGTTTTCAATTTTCAAATATGAAACCTTTTGTATATACATTATCATAAAGTGAATGGGCAATAAATATAAAAATCTACATTTATGTATATTCAATTACACTGGAAGTTTTAACTGAAATAAAACTTCACATTCATACTTATACCTGTTGTAAATGAATCAATAATATCAAATGCTACTATACTAATGAGTTAGATGTATGATAAAAGTCTTATCTTAGAGAATCTGATGTATAATGAAAAGTGGTATTTATAAATTTGCTAATTGATTTAGTTGTTAATGTTAAAATTTAATATCCATTCGCTACCCAATGGAAACATGACTATATATGTGAGGAGAGTCCTCTCTCCCTCTCGAAATGCTCTCACATGGCCACGCGTATAAAGCCTCTGCAACGGAAGTCCTATTCACTGCCTTCTCGTGGCATTACTGTTGATTGCGAAATTGTGAGGGCGAAAAGCGAATGTCCGGCGCTTTAACCGGGTTGGTGGAGACGGATGGTTCACCTAGAGGAGTTGGTAAACCCTGATTCCAAACCAATGGTGCACATGGGCTTCAGTATCCTGAGCGAACAAATGACGTATGAACCAATCGTTGGTCACCGTCTACCATGGGAATGCATTTCCTTACGACGCTCCATTGCCTTGTGAATCAGATCTTTAGGTCAAAGGTTCCGGGTGTGGCTTCCTAAGAACACCACTGGATGCCGGCTCAGTGGTCTAGTGGTTAAGCGCTTTAGTGAGAGACTGGTAGGTCCTGGGTTCAAATCTCACGAGGTGGGATCGTTGATGAGCATTGCTGGGGAGTCGCACAATAGAACGAAACGTTCGTCCAGTGCTTCCAGGTTTTCCTTGGTGGTCTAGCTTCAATTGACTCATGATTTCATCTATGAAAATACTGAAATCTCCGGAAAACCCTTCTGATGATAAGAGATTATGCAAAATAAATCTGTCGTATAGATTCTTTTAACTTTTGATTAAATGATAATTGTAATGAATACTGGATAGCAGAATAATGCAAATTTTTTGCATTTGGAAAGTATTTGGATTACTTCATTTTTGGAGGTATCAAAGTCTACAAAAATTGTTATACAGAATGAGATATTAACAATTTAGTTGTTGCATATTTATTGTTTACATCAATATAGATATGTTGTATCCCGTAGAGAATTATGAATCGTAACTTTGAGGACAATTATGGACCAATGTGATATGTATATTTCCTATTGTATAGTTGTTAAGTAACGTAACTATTCATATTCATGATCCTTTTATCATAAGCCTTATTTTGACCTGTTGACTATTATTATACGATTCACAATTCTTGAAATATTCGCAGTCTATTGATTTCTGTTCCCCCTACTCACAGCCACATTCGGCCAAATCTTGTACAAATGTTATTTTCTATTTTATGGTACGATGTGGTCTGTTTGATTGGTATATAAACCCAGTATGTTTGAGAATAATGATTGATATTTCATAGGCTGTTATTGTGTTCTGGAATTAACTGGTTGGGCTAGGCAGAAAGCAGGACTGATAAGTACTCAAGACTGTTCATACGGCTTTTGTGTATCATTGTCCGATCGATAATTCGCTCTTCTCTCATTGGCGGGAATCAGCACGTTCGTATATCAAACAGGGCACACACTCACACGATACAACAAGATGCACATTCAGATATCAGTATAATATTTTGTCATTTTATGAAAAGAGGTAGATCCTATAAATACAACTTAAACTTCATGAGATATCGTCTGGAACTTTCTTGTTATTGCATTATTTTGAATATATTTAAGAATATAAATCAATGTTTCTCCAAATACATAAGTCATACCTAAACATATAGATACACAATAAGATGTGTTCTTTGAATATATTTACCAGAAGTACGTGTCAACTTAATATTAGTTATTTTCAATAGAGAAAATGTTTTGTGATATCCAAAAAGATTATAAACTGTTAAAATCATTAAATCATTCTCCAACAGTCTATCATAATAAGGTAACTAAATCACCTTGGATTTTACATGGACCACTGTGTAGAATATATTGCAAATACTGCCAAATATTATTGTAAATGTATTTTAAGAAAAACATCTTAACATGGTCTTCAGAATAAAATTTCAGTTACTACTTTAAAATTTTCGTCTGTCCTATTTATGATAAAAATCTAGGGGGATATTTATTTTAAAATTAAAACATATGTCAACATAAAGAATCATCAAAAAATAATGTTATTTCATCCAAATGCATTATCATTAGGCAACAAACTTGGGTGTACATAGTGATTATTTTAATTTCATTAAAATAACATTTATTATGAAAAGATTCAGAAAAATGTACAAAAACAATATTCGGTTATTTACTTTAAGTCAAATTGTTCCCCCCAGAATACAGTTCCATCTGACAGTTTGCTAGTTGTACGCGCATATAATGTACGATCCAAACATATTTCACAAAAGTATCTGTAATAATTGAATAATAAAATATTTTTATCTTTAAAAATAAAAAAAACACAATAACAGATGGATTTTTATTCAATAATTTTGTTGCGATGTCCATTTGTTGGACTGACATTACTGATGACTGATAACATGACATTTATTCATTTTTTTTAAAAATAATAGAATAATCTAAAGTTATTTATTCGTATATACCAGTTTCTAAGTGATATGTATTTAATTAGTATTCATGTTTTCTTGTGACTTATTAGTTTATTCCATGACAGATATTATGCTGCATTTTTGTCAATAACCAACGAATAGAAATATCACATTAAACATTACAACCCCGAACCGAAAATTGTAATGTGCTCACTAAGGATTAGATTCGAGAGGGAATTTTCAGAGTTCTAGTGAGAAGCTATGACCAGTGAAGTTTACTCATTTCGGATATGAAGATGTTACCTATCGAAGACGGTGGGAGATGGTCACACAGCATCGTGAATTGGTTGAAGTTAAACATTAACACAGTTGGATCCCGGCTCAACGGTGGGGAGATTAAGCGTTCGTGTGTAAGACCGAAGGGGCTAGATCCGAATCCCGTGTGCGAGATCATTAACGCGCACTGCTAAGGAAGAAATGGTTTTCCAGTGCTTTCAGGTTTTTAATGGTGATCTTACACTGATAATTTGATGATTTTAATGAAATTCAAAAATCTTCACAACCTCAAACTAGAAAATAATTATTGTACTAGGACTGAATCACATTTTAGTTTTGTAATTCAAGTAGCTATTACACAAATATTCAAGGTCTATTAATTTACAGGACTTAATTTGATTTTGGTTGTAAAAATCTTTTTAATAATGTTTTTTAATACAGAGAAATGCAACTCGCAAACCATATCGTAGTAAAGTCTCGAAAAGGTTCTCTAGTAATACCAACTATTATGCCCCAGTATTATTATCAACAGTAATTTTATTTCCTTATAAAAAAGAAATTACATTTATTTACTATTCATTGGTCCAAGATTATTAAAATACTAATAATAATAAAAATAGAAAATACAGTTTGCTTTCTGATCAATTCTATTTCGAGTTGATATCTTTGTACAAATCAGAAAGTAACTAATTGATATCAGGTACGAATGAATTCGATCATGAGTATAATACTTGAATTATGATAAAGAAGATATGAATGAAACCTAAAAAAAACCCAAGTTGATAGTTTTAGATTAAACGATTAGTGAGTTGAATTGAAATGCTGAAGAAATTTCATTTTTATGCTCATGTATATACATATAAATACTCATGAACAACATAGTAAATTAGCTTTGAATTCATCTTGATAACCATCATGATTAATGTTTAACCATTAATTATCTAGTTAGATAAATACTGAAAGAAATGTGAATTCACTTTTCTTTACAAAATTAGCTCAACAGTTAATTTGACGTAAATCTTTGACTAGTATTTATACTTTAATGATAATTGTCTGATCTTAAGATTTTAAGTTTAGATCCTTTGATCCGATAATTCAAGTTATTAATATAGAATGACTTTTGTGAAAAAATTAACTTTAAGTTTTTATCACAATTTCAAATTCAATCCATTGAATATGTATTGAAAAAGAAATAATGTCAATGTTTCCGTTATTTTGTGTAAGATTAATTAATCCATGTATTGTATATTTAATATAAACTGTATTAAAACTAGTGAGTTCCATAAAACTCAAAATTCTTTTGATTTTCGACTTTAAAAAATGATACTGACCGATTATCATGAATCGACTGAATGTTTACCAGTTTGTTTTTATTTATTTTTACCCATAAAAAGTTTTTTTATTTTGATGAAGTTGATTATAATTGAAATTAATGAGAACGCAAAAATGAAAATTTACGAATAAAGAAAGTTTTATTGATTTCCAGTTTCAAACCAAGGTGTATAATTTAGAAAGAAAGAAAAACAGATTGTGCAAAAAATTACAGGGTAAATGAACACTTGCAATAATCTGTTTCTCTTTTGTTACTTTAAGTATGGGTTAGATGTTCTCGTTTCAAACAACCAAAGAAAACTAAATAAGATATATCCAGAAGACTTTAAATTGTCATATTGAATTAACAAATTAATATATTAAACATCACTCATTATGCTATTGAATTGAATGAAAAAGAAAATTATATTTGTCAAAATCTCGAAAACTGAAATAAGGTAAGTTTAATGTTCTGCTCGTTAATTTTATGTGAGTTTCCTTAGGGAATATAATCAAAATGATTATAAATAAATGTTAAAAATACAAATATGTGCTTCATTCTATTCAATTATTTCTTTTAATAAGTTTAGACCACATTGCAGAATAAAACTTTATAGTTATAAACCTTCAATTGTTAAGGTATGTATACGTACATTTTTTAATTTTAATAATTTTCATACATACAACAGGATCTAACTAAAATGAAACGTTTCATCCAGATTCGGATACAATTTTTTGTCGAACTATTATTATGTCTCAGGTAAACCTCTGTTGACATTATCATTGTATAAATCCACTTAGTATTACTTGTTTGAATCTTCCCATTGATGTTTAGGACTGCAACTGGTCAGTCTCTAATTTACATATGTGCTTACTGTGCCTATTACATTAATATGGCCTTATTTCAAAAGCATTGTAAGCAAAGATGGATAGTGGCTAGCGAGGCGTTTCGTCATATTTGGGATTAATCAGCTGGATTTGCCTGCATCTCAGAAATGAAGTTCACTCTGGGACTCGAGCCCAGTACCGTTCGCTTCAAACGCCATCGTGTTATCCACTCAGCTACTGACTCCTGATAGCCACTTGCTTGTGCAATGGGATGAAGTTTAAATTCACTTAGTATTGTTTGTTTGAATTTTTGCAACCTTCCCAACTTTGAGGTGCGGGTACATCCAACTGACGAGTCCCGAATAGGATGAAACGCGTGTCCTAGATTCCACTGCTAGCCATTATCCATCTTTGCTTACAAACATCTTAGTATTTTTCATGTTCTTATTAAATTGTATTTTTAATTTTAGGATGTATCTAAATACAATGACTTCTATAGATGATAAATGATACCATAGATTTCTACCATCAATAATTTATTCTTGACATTAATTTATTTCTGTGAAAAAAAGAAAGAACTGTACTATGTTTATTCAACTACAATGATAGAATGAAATTACACAATAGATAGAAATGTATTTTTGTTTAAATTAACTAACTACTCATTAGGATTAATTTAATTTACAATGAATGAATGAATTATGCAAATTTTAAGATGCATATTTTTTAAAATGTTGATTTAATTTCTATTGTCATTATATTGAATAAATAAATGGAAAAAAACTGTTTTCAGAATTAGCATTATTTGTGTATTTTTTATTTTTGTTGTTACTGAAATAGAAATTTCCTCAGCTTTATTGTACAATAGGTTTTCTTTTAATAGACTAAGTAACAGATAAACCTATTTTGCCTTATATTCACTTGAGTAAAAAATTAAAAATAAATCGAATAATTTATCACTATTTAATAATAATTGACTGATGATCTAACAAAAAAAGGATCATAATCAAGTTCTGATTTATTCGCTGAGGAAGCGGCTTACAGTGAGTTACGAAACGTCAGAAAATCTAATTTTTTCTACTCATTAGGATATTACAAATATATTATCGTATTTATAATAAAAAACGGTTTAAATATTTAGTTTGAAAGTTCAATCCATACAACAATGATGACATATGTATACTTTATGCGAAGCAAATTTAAGTATATTTCCATTATGTAAAGAGGAATTCATTATACATATGAGCTAATATATATTATAGACCATATTAATCAAATAATGTCTTGACAAATGTTCTCTTTTCTTTTGAAATTGTGAAAGGATACTTCATAGCTACTGAAGAATATTTATAAAAAATTTAATTTTTAAAGTGTAAAATGATATAATGTTCGACTGTATATCATATTCATTATATCTTGAGGAAAATTTCCATTGTTTTCTGGTCAGTAAGTCAAAATCTTCATTATTTTCTACAAACTTGAGTAGAATCAATGGTAGTTTCTTTAAATAAATTCAATTTAAAATCTCTTTTTTTATGATAGTATTGAATGATTATAAGCATTGTATTTAACTCTCATTAAATACTATATCATGATAAATATTGAAAATAACAAAGTTACAAACCGATGGATATATGTGCTTTTTATTATTTATTTTATTTGAATACATAAATATTGGTACAAAGGACACCAGATATATATGCGCCACACAAATCTCATTTGATTTTTGTGAGGGCTGTGATACTGCCCAGGTGCCCAAACCGAAACAAGTGGTTTTCTTAGGCAACCACATTCGGAGCCTTTGATCTAAAAATCTGATCCACAAGGCAGTGGAGCATCGTAATGCGATGCTGTCTCATGGTAGCAGGTGACCAACAATTGATTCATACACAAAACCGGTTAAAGCGCCGGACATTCGCTTTTCGTTCTCTCAATTTCGTAAACAACAGTAATGCCATGAGAAGGCAGTGAGTACGACTTTTCTGGTAGATGCTATATACGCATGGCGATGTGAGAGCATTTCGAGAGGGAGAGCGAACACTCTCCACTCTCGGCCTTACCAGGGCATTTGAGGGCTCATTTTTAACTTTCGTGATTTTTACGTTTACTATCTGGTTTTACGTTGTAGCTGACTGATTAATAAAGTTACAATATCCCCCCCTAAAAAACAAATCAATAGTTTAAACTTCTTTATTTTTTATGTATTCAAAATTACATTGATAAAAAAATGTTTTTGACCAAACAAATGTTAGTTTTCTAATACTAAAAAGACTTCCTTAAATAAACTAAAAATGTCAACAATTTTCATATACATAGGTTGATGTTTTATTTACATTTCAGTAGTTTATTCAGTATTTAGTTTTTATGAAAATTCTTTCTTTCTGTTCAAAAATTGATGACAGAAATGACATTTTTATAAAAAATGTTTCTGTTCTGTTGTGTTTTAT